CATTCATAATTGTAGACAATGCTACATTTCAATGAGCATTTAGTGACAATAAAGACATAACTTTGTTTCCCACTCAGGTTCACGGACCCCAGGTTCACGGAGCTTAGGGACCTCTTGATGTTTTGGACCCGAAGTTAAGAACCTCTGGTAGTAGGGACGGACGCTCTGTGACACGTTGTGACAACATAGCCTGGGGGGAGCAAGGCTGTGAAGAGTCAGCTTTGGGTTTGCGTGTCCATCTACCCCAGCTAATGTTACAATCTGGGCAAGCTCAGCATCTTCACCTGTAAAGAGGACATAGTGATGGTGACCATCTCATAGTGTTGTCACGTGAAGAGCTAAACACACACACATAGAACACTCAGCACAATGTCTGGCATGCAGAAAAACTGGGGTTACATTACGAATTTTGGACATCCCTATGGGCAGTTCTCAGAAATAGCCATTCAGGTATTTTGACTTTTTTAAAAAAAATTATGATTGACTTCAGCCAAAGTACAAATTTAAAAACTTGTTTCTGTGTTAAGGTTATACAGTCTACTTAAAAATCTTCCTCTACGTCGAGCAAATCTGAAAGATCCACCTTTAAAAGGCTTTCGAATATCACTCAGTCCCATTTACACGCTTAAGTACTTTCAAATATTTTAAACTGCACTTATAAACACAATCGATTAGGGGCGCCTGGGTGGCTCGGTTAAGTGTCCAACTCTTGATTTCGGCTCTGGTCATGATCTCAGGGTTGTGAGATCAAGCCCCGCATCTAGTTCCCCCACTCAGCACGGAGTCGGCTTGAGATTCCCTCTCCCTCTTCCTCTGCCTATCCCCCCATCTTGCGTGCTCTCAATTTCTAAAGAAACAGGAATAAATAAATAAATAAATAAATACAATCAATTAGATTTCCTTTTTAAACACTCACTTGTCCACTTCGCTACTCCAGAGTGTGGTCCGGGGAACCTTGGCTTTATGGAGGCACTTGTTAGAAATGCAAGCTAGCCCCACCCAAGACCTACTGCATAAAACCTGCCTGTCTACAAGGTGCTCAGTGATTATTGTGCACCTTAAAGATATGCAAAGCCCTACCACTCCAGACCTACTGAGGCATAATCTGCATTTCACAAGGTCCCCATCAAGTATTGTGCGTGATAAAGCAGTAAACTCTGACTAGCTGAGCTTTCCAAAATAATTTATCAACTTTTTATAGTGTATGTAAAACTTGTGTTCTCTTAAATGTTCCAACAATCTACATAAATTTAATACATTTAACTTTCTACTCCTGTAAATCAATTACTCAAATATACATTTTGATTGGCATTAGAAGGCTGTTCTGTTAATCCAATGGTACAAATTTTCTTGAATCCACAAAATATCAATTATGCCCAAATTCCTTCTTATCCTTGTAATATTAAATAGTATAATTTTGAATTATCTCCAGCTTTTTCATACTTAATTTTAATAATTTCTGGATTTTGAGAAATGCTTAATAAACTAAATTAACAAACCAAATAAACTTATATCATTCCACATAATTTTAGTTCACTGCTTAAACCTATTAAATATTTAAAGAACTAATCCCAATCAGATAATAGAGGAAGGACCACTTGCCAGCTCATTCTATGAGGCCACTGATACAGACATCCAAAGAAAGAAGACCTACAGGCTATTGTTCTTTATGAACTCATATGCAAAAATCCTAAACAAAACAGTAGCAAACTGAAATCATTAATAAGTAAAAGTATTATGGGCTATAAACAAGTGGGATTTATTTTACATAATTTTGGAGGCTATCTTCCCATGTCATATTTTCAAAAGATTTTTATTGAGAGAGAGAGAGAGAGAGAGAGAGAGAGAGCAAGTACACAAGTTGGGGGAGGGGCACAGGGAGAGGGAGAAGCGGACTCCCCACTGAACAGGGAGCCTGTCACAAGGTTCCATCCCAGGACCCTGAGATCATGACCCCAAGATCATAACCTAAGCAGAAGGCAGATGCTTAACTGATTGAGCTACCCAGGCACCCCTTCATTTTTGGTACTACTTTACCCTTAGACAATACAATGTTAGATTGGATGCCGGATATCTCAGGAATTTTTCTGTTGGGAGTTAGAACCTTTACATGAAGTCCTTGTACTGTAAGGTGAATTTTGTTATTATTAGTGCAATGAGAAGTACAGCAGGACCTTTAAAGGAGTCTAGGTTGGTGGGGGAGATTCAAGGAGTCACGCTGACTCTTACAGGGGTATGATTTTGTGCCTGAGAAGAGGGCAGGTATGATGGGACATTCCAGAAGGAGAGGGAATGGATGGAGTGAAGTGAGCTTCTGTCCCTGTTCTAAGAGAAAGAGCGTGGTCAAGAAGCTAAGAGGAGAGGTAGCATCCCCAGGGGCAAAGGAACAAGCTCAAGGCAAGGATGCTTTTCCCTTAAGACAGCGTAGGTAACAATAAATATAAAACTCCCCCCCCCCTTACCCCTGTACTATATCCCAGGGGCAGATGCTTCACAAGTTTAGGGTTTCTTTTTCCCTCCTTTTGGGAGAACAATTTTTAAATAACCATACTATAGAGTAATTATATTTTACTTTGGTATTTATTTATTAAAAACTTTATTTTACTTTTTTAAAAAATATTTTATTTATTTATTTT